TCAACCCCTGTATCTGTAAATTACAATTGCTTCTGACCAAGTCACAACTTAAAACCTCATGAGGACTGAGCAACACGTCCAAGGCGTAATGAGATGAAAAAACATGTTTTGATAAATTTGTTCTGAGATAGAAACTCACTGGGAAAGAGTCAGTCCGAGGAGGAGGGGCTGAGGGAGCTGGGAAGGGGCTCAGCCTGGAGAACGTCCATCCCTGGAGGTGTCCCAGGAAGGCCTGGAGGTGGCACTGAGTGCTCTGGGCTGGGGACAAGGATGGGATCAGGCACGGCTTGGACTCAGTCTTGGAGCTCTTTTCCTCCCTAAAAGTTTCCATAATTCAAGCACGATACTCCCATGCCTACCTGGCAGCAGGAATTTGAGGAGCAGTCTCTGGGTGTGCCCTGCTCAGACAAGGCTGTGCCAGTGTGTGACAGATCTATGTCACACATCTGCACAGCAGCCACCAAGGGACACAGCTGCTAATTAGTGCTAATGAGGCCCCTGCTCAGGTGGAGGCACAGTAGGAAGGTGGGGCAGTTCCCATCCCAGAGAACTTGCTCTGCCAGTTTTCCTGAGAGGATGAGGATGGGGGGAAAGTCCCGGTGCCACCGACCTGGAGATAGCTCCGTGTTGTGCAACAGAGCAGGGATTCATTGAGGGTCACCTCAGCCTCGCTGTATGGAAGCAAAAGTAATCCTGTGCTTAGAAAAACCCTGGGAACTCCCATCCCCCTGGGCTGATTCCACTGGAACTCAGCCATTGGTTCTGCCCATGTTTTCTGTCCATTCATTGTCCCAGGGAAGGATTTGCTCCCTGCTCGTCCCCACCTCCAGTCCCACACAGGCTCTGTCTGTCACAGGCTCTCGTGTGCCCTGGCACCACCACAGCACACCTGGGGCAGGATTTTGGGAGTGACACCATTGGATTTTGTCTCGCTACATCTTTTCTGGATAATGAGCTGAACTATTTCTCCTGACATCCTCCCACACTGGGCTGTCCTGGAGCTGGCCGAGCTTCCCTGGCAGCTGCACAGCCCAGACAGGCCCAGTGTCACCAGGCTCCTTCCAGGAGCCACTGCCCCTCTTACCTCCACAGGCTGGCAGCAGAGCAACTCAGGGGGAACTGGAGATCCCAGGAGCCTCAGCCAAGCTGATTTGAAGGTTTCCCACTCCAAGCAAGTCCTGGAGCCTAAGCAGGAAAGCAAAGCAGCCACCTGGGCCTCTCCAGGGACATGGCAGGGAGCAGCCAGGCAGGGAAACTGAGCTGTGAGGATCCCTTAGCTGGGGAGGAGGGGTTTGTGCCAATGTGGGAACCTGGTGGCCAAACAGATGAAGCAGCTTCTCAGGAAATTTCTGCCCTGGCATTGAAAAGGAGAAACTGGGTGAGCAACAGCTTTGTTCTCACAGCTCTGGAGGTGGCTGGGGTGGAAGGGGAGAGTCCCACATTCACCTGGACTTACAGAGGTCCTTCAGCAGCTCCTGCCTCCATCCCAGCTGTCCAAGAGCTGCCATGTCCAGGGTGGGCCCTGTGGTGACTCTGGGGAGAGCAGAGCACACAGGGCACAGCCACAGGGCTGCAGCTATGGCAGAGCCAGTGGGGACACCTGGGGACACAGAGGGAAGGGGGGAGAACTGACCCCTAAAGGGGCACAGTGAGATGACCAAAGAGCCCAGAGCCACTCACCATATCAGTGACCATGGGACACCTGCAGAGGGGACAGACAGGTGGCTGTGGCAGTGGCAGTGCAGGGCTGTGGCAGGGCAGTGGCAGAGCAGTGGCAGGGCAGTGGCAGAGCAGTGGCAGGGCAGTGGCAGAGCAGTGGCAGGGCAGTGGCAGAGCAGTGGCAGGGCAGTGGCAGAGCAGTGGCAGGGCAGTGGCAGAGCAGTGGCAGAGCAGTGGCAGGGCAGTGGCAGAGCTGTGGCAGGGCAGTGGCAGAGCAGTGGCAGAGCAGTGGCAGGGCACTGGCAGGGCAGTGCAGGGCAGTATCAGGGCAGTGTCAGAGCTGTGTCAGAGCAGTGGCAGAGCAGTGGCAGAGCAGTGACAGGGCAGTGTCAGAGCTGTGGCAGGGCAGTGTCAGAGCTGTGGCAGGGCAGTGCAGGGCAGTAATGTCTGACCCCTCACAGCCCCTTTCCAGGCCAGGCAGGGCTGGGGCTCCCCCATCTCACACCCATTCCCAGCTCAGCCTGCAGCAGCTTCAGGTCTCCTCCTCATCCCACTCTTTACAGCAGCCAGGACCTGCCCTTTGGTTTATTTAAGCACTGACAGAGATTCAAAAGTGTTGGAAGAGCATTTTTCACCACTGACTAAAAATAGCAGAGTGAAATTCCAGAGCTACCTCCAGCGCCACCGGCCGGGTCCGACTGCTTGGGACAATGGCATTTGCAGCCCACGAGTGACAACAGCACAGGCCAAGCTCCAGCTCCCGAAATAACGACTCAGAAAGGGCAAATTCTGGCTTTAATTACATCCAGACAAAAAGGAGCGTTTCAGAAGAGCATTATGAGAGTATCTGAGCACACAGTGCCAGCTGGAAAGCGAGCAGGGAATGCAGAGGGAGCGGGGTGGCCTCACCACACAGACACCCCAAATTTCAGGTATTCCCGAGGAGGGGAGACACATGCAGCTGGAGCTTTCAGAAAAGCTGAAGGCACAAGGAAAAAAAACCCTTCAGGCAGCCAGAAGGAGCTGATGATCCGTGACAAGGAGTCTCCAGCCCCACATCCAAACCCAGGAGCACACAGCGATGAGCCCTCTGAACCTCTCCAACGTGCACAGAAGAAACTCCATGTGACATCCTGGAAGTGACTCTTTTTCTCTCAGTTCCAGATAACCGAGATTGGATCCCTTCTGGGAAAATAGTCAGTCTCCAGCAGAAAGGCACTGATCCTGCCCGGCTTCCAACCTCAAACCTGCTGGAAGTGCCCAAACATGGCCCCATCAAACTCCCTTCCCAATTCCAGCAGCAATCCTGTGTGCTGGAGGCAGTTGAGGCTTCCTGGATGGGAGCCCTGCCAGGCGATGCCCACCTGGACAGGGCAGGGAGAACCCACCTGAACCTGTTCTGCAATATTCGGTGTGAAAAAAGGCACTTTTGGACACAGAGCAACCCAAGTGCACCTGGAACAAAAGCCAGGCAGCAGCAGAGCTGCTTTCTGAAGGTGAAAGCGACCCAGTGACCTGATCCTGGCAGCTGAAAGGAAGAAAAGTTTCACCACATCATCCTTCCATGGGTGAGGAGCTGCTGGGAGAATTCCAGGTGCCAGGCACTGAGGGGACCCAGCACACCCAGACACAGCTGTGCTCTCACTGAAACGTGCAGGGGAAGAGTCAGGAACTAGCCAAGATCCAAGAGCAGCTTCCAAGCACTGCTGTGACAGTGGAGCAGAGCTCTGGGCATCCCTCCACAGCAGCCAGACCGCACTGCTCCTGCTCCCTCTTGGATTGCACAACTGGAAAGCAGAAACCAGGCTTGGTGCTGCCAGTAAAGGGTCAACTGAGAAATATTTGGAATTTTATTAAGCAATACCTGCTCGTGCCTGGCTGCACCAAGTGGGGAGACTGCAGGAGCAGTTCTCTGCAGGCAGCAGCTTCCCCTGACTGCATCAACTGAAGGGATTATTTTTATATTTTTAATTTAGTGCTGAGCTCAGATTGATGCCTTTACCTACACCAAAAGCTGAACAGTATCACTTTTATGTACCTGGGTCACACACAGCATGAGATTTGTGCATCACTTTTGTGTCTGCTCCCGCAGAAACCTCCCATGTCCAAAATTTGGGAATCCAGAGAATGGACAACAAGCCAGGCTGTCCCATCTGGCACAGCTGCAGATCAGAGACTGTGTGAGGCAGAGCGCAAGCTTGGAAGCCCCAGCCCCCAGGAATAACTCTGCACAAGGCCAAGTGTGACAGCAACCGGCCAAGAGCCTCACACCCAAATCCTGCTGCTCCCACAGAAGGTGCTCAGACTCTGTCAGAGAATCTCAGCTAAGCAACACCTGCCAAGAGGAGATTTCAAGCATCCTTTAAAAGCCCTGATACTAATGATGTCGCTCACAAATTGCTGGCCCAGCTGTGGAGGAGGCAGGTGCTCCCTGGTCAGCCAGGGACACACATGGGTTGGCCACAGGAGAAGCCAGAGAGGTCAGGGCAGGCCCATGGAGCCAGGACCCTTCTGTCCGGGTTGGCCCAAGAGGCAGAGTAGAAAAGGCTTCGTAAAAAGAAACCCACCCATTGGGATGTTAAGGGCAGGGTGCTGCTGCTGCAGGCTGTCCTTCCTCTGCCTCAGGTGTTCAGAGCACCCCAGGTAAAACTCACAGCCCACCTGGCTTCAGACTCTTGGATTTTTCTCCCTCCTTCTGAGGTCACAGTTTTCAAAGAGCAACTGAGTGTGCTGGAGAAACACAGAACCATGGAATCACTGAAAATCCCTCCCAGCCCATCGAGTCCAAACTGTGCCTGATCCTTGTCCCCAGCCCAGAGCACTCAGTGCCACCTCCAGGGATGGGCACTCCAAACCCCCCTGGGCAGCTCCTTTCCATGGGCACCCTTTCCATGGGGAAATTCCTGCTGGTGCCCACCCTGAGCCTGCCCTGGCCCAGCCTGAGGCCGTTCCCTCTCCTCCTGTCCCTGTTCCCTGGAGCACAGCCCGACCCCCCCGGCTGTCCCCTCCTGTCAGGAGCTGTGCAGAGCCACAAGGGCCCCCTGAGCCTCCTTTTCTCCAGGCTGAGCCCCTTCCCAGCTCTCCCAGCCTCTCCTGGGGCTCCAGCCCCTTCCCAGCTCCGTTCCCTGCCCAGGACACGCTCCAGCCCCTCCGTGTCCTTGCTGCAGTGAGGGGCCAGAGCTGGACACAGCCCTCAGGGGCCTCAGCAGGGAGAAACATCCAGAAACACAAACTGAGCTGTGAAAGAGTTGCCTCCAACCTCCAGCCCTGAAGCTGGCACCGAGCTGAGAGCAAAAAGCAGGAGTTTCCTGGACTAGAGAAAATAAACCAGGAGTCTGTACTATATTCTTAAATATGGTTTAATACTCTTCTCCATTTCTGTACATCACAACACCAAGATATCACTGCTTGGGATCTCTCTGCAGAGGCTATATAGTATGCGAAGGCTAGGATCTCCCACCCCCACTGAGTGTGTTTGCATGTGTAAGTGTAATACATATCAGTATATATTGATATACACATCAATATATAATGCAATATATATCACTGAAGAGAACACATTGATTAAAGAAATACAAAAATTTGGCATCATTTCCAAACTTAAATAGTAAAAATAAAAACTACAAAAAGGAGCTGCATACCCTAATGTATCATGTGAAACAACAAGCAGTATATTCAAAAATGTAAATTTACAACCAATTTTTGTGGTCTTGTCATGTCACATTAGACCCATTTACAATGGCAAAATCCAGAACATACTGCTGTGAGGGCCAGGGCTGTGCTCAGCCCTGAGCAGACCCAGCCCCATCTCCTGGGAGAGATTCCAGCTTGGATGTGAGGACGACAGTGAAGCCGCCGGTCAGGGTAGGGACCAGGGGGACAAATGGTATTGCTCACAAGGACAGGAATTTTGGACCTCAAACAACAGTGTGGCAGAAATTTGAAGAGAAGCTCCCTCTGTTCAAGTGAACCAGGACAAGAGGCAAAGGTTTGCAGCTGGAACAGGAGCTGCTCCTGAGGGAAGCACCGGGAGCCACGCTGCGAGAACCCCCAGGGAGGGAGCAGGACCTGAGCTCTGCTGGGCCACTGCTCCCCTGGGACAGGACCTGCCCTTGTGTCACTGCTCCCCTGGGACAGGACCTGCCCTTGTGTCACTGCTCCCCTGGGACAGGACCTGCCCTTGAGCCACTGCTCCCTTGGCCTGCATGGCCCCTGACCCCCAGAGTGTCACCAGCAGGCTGGACATACCCCAAGGATGAACTCCCTGATCTATGGATGCTCTGTGGAACAGGCAGGACACAAAGCCTGGGACCATCCAGAGGTGATCCTTCACCTCCTGAAGGGCACATCCCCACAGGACAGACACTGCTGGGAGCTGGGTGTTCCCAGGGCTATGCCAGTGCTCCACGGATCAGAATCAAATATTCCACACTCCCAGCACTAATTCAGCCTTCACTCCACTGACTCAGTATTCCTGTCAAACACCCACTTCCATTTAAGACCTGTGGGCTCAAATTCACATAATCAAGGAAACCTTACGCAGTCCTAAAGCAAAAAGAAAAACTTACTGAGGAACAAAAAGCCAAGTGTACCTTACTTCACTGAAATCTCATGTTTATTTTTGTCAAAACTGAAAAAAAAAAATTCCTGAAGGCTGCACTGTTCAAATCCAAATTAAGCCCAAGACTCCAGCAGCATTTTCATTGCAATCCATGAAGTGCATTTCCTAGTTTGTAAGAGCAGTGTTTCTGCAAATAGATTAAAGCACGTTCGGCTGGTGAGCCTCCCCAAACCATCAGAATTTGCAAGCCACATGTAATGAACCAGCACCCAGGTCAGTGCCTCCTCAAGCTTTTGAAGAGAATTATGGCTCCAACCTCGTTCCATTTCTTCTGCAGGCTAAGCTGAGAATGCCATGTAAATGGGTCACGGCGCTGCCAAATGCAGCAATTGATTTCTCCAATCAAAGTATAAAGAAACAAACCAGTAGGATCTTACTTCTATTAATTTTGGAAGGAAGAGGTTTACAGCAGTTAATGTATCATGAAGGTTAAAAAAATCATTTCCATAAAATACAAGAGCAACCAATTTCACCATTGAGTAAAAGTAAAAACTGGGATTCTTTTTAAATTAGTCCAAAGTGGCATATAGGAACTTAGTAGTTTGCTGCTGTACTGACACTATGACAAATCAAAGTGTAGGGTTTTGCTTTCTTAAATCCAAATGCTCGTGGATCAAGTTCTGGAAATGTTCCAATTCTAAGGCAGGGATCAGTTGTGTATTCCACCATGAGTTTGCTCCTTGGGTTGGATGCTGGAGGGGCGAGGCACGTGTTGCCGGACCCAGCTCGACTACCTAGTAGTCATCAAGGTCAAAAAATTCATCGTCTCCTCCTTGGTATTCCATGCCCTGGAAGTCCACCCGGTACCGCAAGATACCTGCCAAAGAAACAGCCTTTAGCTTCCCCAGCATTCCCACAGACACAGCTTCCCCAGCCCTGCTCCCAGAGCTTCCCAGTCATGTCCGCCTGAGGTCTGGCAGCGGACAGGCAGCTGCACTGAGAAATGCCACGGGGAATTTAGTGCCCAAAGGAAGATGCCCAGCCTGGCCAGCTTCCTCCTGGAAAAGCTGAGCCTGTTCTAGGGCTGCATCTCCACAAAACACCAGTGGCACATCACTGCTCCCAGTGTCACTGCTCAGATCCAGGCCTGGCAGTAAAATCCAGAAGGCAGCTGGCACTGCAGCTATTTTTACAATGCAATAAAAGCAGGATTTAGTGTCTGTTTTCCTCTTCCCACCCCAAACACCAACGCAGGGGTTTGGAAATCCTGTATCCCTGGCATAATTTACTGAGGTGAAGGAGATTTTCAAGGACATTTCCTTTCAAGCCTACAGGGCATGGGAGCAAAGAGGATGCCACTACGCAAAGAGGCTGGATCTGGCAGGAAATGAGAGACTGGAATCACAAACCCTGAAAACTTAGAAACCTTGCTCCTTATGGAGCCAAACAATCCAAGATTCTTTCCTCTTGACTGGTGTTCTCTGGGCCCTAGAAATTCCCCTTTACAATGCACTTCTCCCTGGTTCACATCCACCAAAGCTGAGCACAGCCAGTGGCACAGCTTTGTCCTGGAACCCCTGCCCAGGCAGGACATGGAGCATGGCACTGCTGTGGCTCCACCTGCCCAGGGTTTGTCAGACTGGCACAGGAACCACCCGCGCCTCTGCCAAGCGTGGCTGATGCTCAGTGAGCTCCAGAGCAGGACTGGCTTTCAGAGGCCTCACTGCTACAGAGGATGGACTAAAAATACTTCTCCTTTGAAAAGAAGCAGAAGATGAGGGAGCGAAGTACAGGGAGGCTCTGAGAGATGAGCAACAGCTCCAAGTGTTTCAGGAACAGGGCTGGGGGTTGTCAGAGCCCCCAGGCAGGGCACGGGTTGCCACCAAACAAACCCCTGTGCAGACAGAGCCAGGCAGCTGGGGCCCTCCTGAGCTCCAGCAGCTGCACAGGGGGACAGCCCATCCCTGAGCCCTGCACAGGACACAGGCATTGAGGAACACAGCTGGAAGTGACAGGGCCCAACATGGACCACCATCCTGCTGGACAGGGAATGAATCCACCCTGGTGAACACAACTGTTTCTCAAACTGGTTTCATGACTGACAGGAATAAGATTAATCCCATTCGTGTTAGCATCAGATTATCAAACCAACGGCTAAACAAGACAAACACATTTTCCTCTTGCAGTTTACCTCCAATTCCTCCAAATCCTTTCACAAATTGGGATCCTTCTTGTGATTTGTCTGTAACAATTTCCAAGGTTGCTCCAAATTTCTTGTAGTTGTTTGCAAACCACTCCAGGAGGGGCATACTTTCTATGAGTTCATGTTCCTGCCCAGTCTGTGGAGACATTGGAAGGGAAAAATAAATAATAAAACCCTGTTACAGTCATTGTGTGTTCAGTACTGAGAAAATCCCTGCCAAAGTTGGTTCCATGGCTTTGTCTGTTGTAGCAGGGACAGCAGCCCTCATGCTCCACAGGGACATTCCTGGGGGAAGGCATTCCTGGCACAACTGCACCAGGCAAGGACAGGCACAGCTCCTGGTGCTACAAAATTAATCATTGACAGTGTTTTGGCCCTCTAATACGACATTTAGTGCAGAAGCAGGAGAAAAATTGCCTTGATTCTTCTGCTCCAGTGTTACTCCATGCCACATTTCAGCTTCACTGCTCATTCAGACTTGCTCTGTCCCCTGCACAGATTGCAGCCCCCCCATCCAGCAGGCCCTGTTCCCAGGCAGGAACACTGATCCATGCAAGCACAGAGGCAAAAGGCAACATTTTCTAAACAGGAAGTGCAGTGATTATTGTGAAACAGAAACACCTCACTGCAGATAACACTGCAAACCCTCCATGCACAGCAGGGATTGGCAGTCCTCCCTCCAGAAGGGAAAACAGCTGGAAATGGCTCCCAAGCACAACCCAGGTGGGACAGATCCCCACCCTTTGGCAAGGGACACTTTTCTCCCCAGTTTATTCAGCAAAGTAACACAGACCCCTGGTCCACGAGGGCTGTTTGACCTGCACAGACAGGAAATTCAGGCAGTTCCCCGTGTCAAATGCATCCCAAAGCAGACACTGCCTTGACACCTGATCCAGGTCACCATCCTGACCTCACAGTGGTTGTGCACAACCAAATCAGTGCCTCGTAAGCAGGCATCAATGGTTCTGGGGCCTTGCCTGCATGGTGGCTACCAAACCCTTGTAGGGGATGGTTTGGTGGTGGTCAAAAATCCCACACTGTCCATTTACACAACCTTGGCATCGGCAGCAGGGAAGACTGGAGAAAAGCAGGTGTAGGATCCAAGGGGTTACACAGGAAGAGCCACAGCTTCCTGCCCTGAGGTGTCACTGAGTGCCAGAAGGTCACTGTGCTCAGGTGCTTGGGACAAACTTAGCCCAGATGTCCAGAGCTCTGCATCAACACACTGAGAACAAGCCCAGAAGCCCCAAAGCTGAAATACCTCCTTGTCTGTGAAGTGGGATTTATCCTTCTCTTGCTCTGGTGTCAAATACAGGATCTTCTCCTCTGAGAAGGGAGGAAAAAATGATAATATTAGTTTGGGTAAGGCTACAAGATGCAGTTTAAAGACAGCAGGAGATCGAGCACAGCCAGCAACTAGAACACAGAGGGTCTGGGCCCCACCACTGCCTGCCTTCCTCTCTAAAGCTCTGTGAGCAATACCACAGGGCACAGCAGCACAGAGCAGCTGCAGAGCCAACACAGACGGGGACAGGTCCTGCTGCAGGCCCAGGAATTGTGTTTCTGGACACAAGGTCATCTCAGTCTCCCCTGTGGTATCACACTCACAAAGCTGGAAGGAGGTTCCGGGCTGGCCCTGAGACCAAGTGCACTGGAATTCCCTTTGTGCACTGGAACCCTGCTCATTCCAGCTTTTCCCCCAGAGGCTGGGAAACCTGCAAAGTAACACAGACCTACACAACATCCCTGTGTTCAGATGTCCTCAGGGAGCTCCTCCAGCAAACCCATCCCAGTGAGGCAACTCAGGTGTCAAACCCTGAGAGCTTCCAGTGTCCCAGAGCACCACGTACCCTCCGTGCCTTGGCAGTGCAGGACGTATCTCATGATATCCAGGTTTTCATAGACTATCAGGATCTCTACTGCTCCCATTTCCAAAGCTTTTAGTGTATCTTCCACACCAAAGCAGTACTTCCCCGTGTCCTGGCTGATCTCATCGAAGTATCGTCCTGCAGGGCACACAGAGCCTGCCATAAGCATGCAGCACAGCACACACACCTCACACAAGCTTCATCTGAATGCAAGAAACTGTGAGAAGCAGCTGCCACCAGAAGGCCTGGAACTAAGGGGATCTCTCATGGAAGGACAGAGAAGGTCCAACAAGTCTGGTGTGGAAAAAGAAACCAACCAACCAACCCCCATCCCCCACAAGCCATACCAGCACTTGAGGTGTCCAGCTGGCAAAAAGAACTACTGCAAGTCCCACTCTCAGCCAGCACAGCAAGGCTGGGGCAGAACAAGGGCACTGCCAGAAGGGTGAGAGCAAGAGCAGCACCTGTGCCACACACCTGGCTCAGCAGGAGGCTGCAGTGCATCACGTACCTATTAGCTTTTTCTCTTGGATGAATTTCACATTGGAGAGGACCTCAGTTGACAACTCAATTGCTTGATTGAAGCCATTTTCTCCTCCATATGAAATATCAACTAGTTTGAGCACTTTGGATTGCAACCGCTGAACGAGAGAAGGAGGAGACAGGAAATCATAAATCCACCCCAGAGCAAGGCTGTCAGACTCCTCACCCTGCCATGGGAGTCACTGCTCTTATTACTGCACTTCACCTGAGGCAGAGGCAGCTCTGAAGGCACAGTACTGAACCACAGTTTTCAGGCTACATGGACCAGCCATTAGGTTTACTGGAGTTCAACTCCAATAAAGCTTCTGCTTTAGATTTGTGAACACAAAGAATGTGAATGCCAGTTCCAAACCAGGGAGGACAGATTTCTTATTAGCCCTGTTTCAAGAACAGGAGCTCTCAGCTCCTTGCAGGAGGTATTAGGAATGGGAGACTTCTTTGGATACATCACATTTTTAGTTTGATCAAATCTCTTCAGATGCCAGAATTACATTCCTCCGGAGTAGCATCTTGTATCAGATCTACTGCTACAATCACCCTGTCCCCACTGACACTCAAACACGGGGGTTTGCTCAGAACAGGCCACTCACCTGATCAAACATGTCAGATTGACTCAGCTCAGTTTTGAAGTCGGCCGAGCCAGCGAGGACGAGCCCGGCCACGTTGACCTTGTCCCCGGAGATGAAGAGCTGCACGGCCGTCTCAGCCACCTTGCGCACGTAGTTGTGCCTCTTCTCCATGCGCAGGCGGGCAAAGCGCAGGGCAGACTGACCTCCTCTGCCTGCAGGGAAGGACAGGGCAGCCATGGGGGAACCACTGCATGCCAGCAGCATCCTCAGGACACAGCTGGCCTGGAATAACCACAGCCAAGGGCAGCTGCAGCCTCCTGAATTCAGTTTGCCACGAGCCGAGGCAAGGGCTGCCATGGAACACTCAAGAGAATAGAGGGGGTTCATTCCTACCAGGAGATTTTTTCTCCACAGAGGAAAATGTTTCTTTTCTTTCTGTAAAGACTCACAACTCTGTAGAAACTGAACATCTGAGCACATTCTCTCTCCCTGCACCTTCAAGAGAAGCCATCTCCTCTATACACTGCCTTAAACACTGCTGACGCAGCACAGCCCAGCAGTCTCTGCTGCACAGCCTCACTGGGGGCAGTGTTTTTGTTTCATTTTGTCCCATCCCACTCTACAAAGGACAAGGCCAAGAGTAACCAGCAGACAACTTGCTGAATTCATCAGTGGCTGGCTACAACACAGCAGCACAGAGTGGAACTTGAATTTTCCTTGCTTCATGAGGCCCCGTGCTTCCTGCAGAGAGCAGCTCGCTGCTCCTCGCTGTGGGGCACACACAGCACCAGCACATCAAACCTTAACGACCCCACTGAGTGGGATTACTGCCTGCGCTACTAATACTCAGTTACAACTGTCCCAAAACCAAGGAAATGGTCAAATACAGCAAGAAATAAAAAGTGCCGCTTCTGAGATCAACTGCATATTACTGTGATTCATTAATTCTGACAGAAGGCTCAGACTGGAGGCTTTGCTGTCAGATTCCAAGGGAGCACAGACTTGAGCAGATCTAAACCCCCACAGGCCAAGTTCCCCACTTCCACCCTCCCATGCCAGCCCGGGACAGGCTGCTGCCCTCAGCAGAGACAGCCGAGTGCGTTACCGTGCTTCTTTGGAAGATCCACAGTGAATTTGTGCAGCACTTCCCGTGTGTTTCCTTGGAGAGTTCCGAAGAGTGCCCCGCTCCCATCTATTACAATAAAGCCAAACTTGCTGTCGTCGGAGAGCAGCGCCGTGAGGGCCTGGAACAAACAGAACACGTGAGGGCCAGGGACAGCACAGCCCCTCATGGCTATACTTTCATTAATGAAGTGGAGGAAAACCAGCACATTCGGGAGCTGTAACTATTCCAGATCACTACAGAATCCCAGGATTGTTTGGGTTGGAAGAGACCTTAAAGACCTTCCCCTGCCACGGGCAGGGACACCTTCCACTGTCCCAGGCTGCTCCAAACCCCAGTGCCCAGCCTGGCCTTGGGCACTGCCAGGGATCCAGGGGCAGCCACAGCTGCTCTGGGCACCCTGAGCCAAGGCGTGCCCACCTTCACAGGAAGGAATTCCTTCCATACATAATCCCATCCCACACATAATCCCATCCTATACAACACTGTCAAGAGCACAGAGGAAACTGAAGTTTAATTCTGATCACAATTTCCCAGCTCTGCCAGTTCCCCACCTGAGGTCACGGGCAGGTGTGACAGCAAAACCCTGGAGATGGGCTCTGGAGAGTGTGAAGTGAAAATGGATCCCACCTCTCTGAGGCTGCCTCACCTCTCTGGCTGGCACAACTGGAGCAGTAATTCTCCTGGTATTCCAGCCAGGAAAGCAGAACTTGCTCAATTCATTGTCAGTTCAGTTTTGTAGTCCAAAGCATTGACACAACCTCCCTACCACCACTACTGGTCTGCTGCACCTGCTGACTTCAAGTCCCACAGGCAGAATGATGAAATAAATCTACAGTGGCTGTGGCAAATTCAGCCTTACAGAGCACAAGGAACAGCAGCAATAATAGTCCTGTGCATAACTGGCTGTGGAGAAGACAGCCAGAACATTTGCTGCAAAATGAAGTTATCCTTCAATTTTCTTTCCTTTAAAAAAAGCAGCTGAATATTTCCCATAAGGTCATTTAAGTTGCCTAACCAAAACACAGAGCAGTATCAAGGTTTTTGAGTTCATTTTGCCCAAGCACCCAAACTCTGCACTCCTTTCTCAAGGCAGTCTCTCAGCTGCTGTTCCCTCAGGGGCTGTCTGAGTGGGCAGAAACATCCAGCACGCACACACACACACACATCCTGCTCACTTACACATGCCCAAAAAAGCAATAGCCAGAATCCTCTTTCTGGCTGGCAAAACCACATCAGTAGGATGGGGAACTTGTCAAAACTCCAGATTGCTTCAAGTCACCAGTTTAACACTGAAAGTGATGGTGCTGGGTTACTGCACGGGACCTTGAGCTGCCTGCAGGGCTGTCAGCCTGATTATGGGGCTGAACAGAAAGGATCAAACCCATCAGTCATCCTCTTCCAAAATCCACACAACCCAGGATGCAGCTCTCAAGCTTAGAAGAAATGGAGGCTAAGGTTTAATGGAATCTCCTGGCCAAAGTAAATATTCTGTATTAATTCCTCAGCAATGGGATGAATGAGAGGAGGAAGTGGCATATTACACTGCAATCTATTTAGCTGGGACTGAGCCAAGCAAAATGTGTGACTGGAATGAATGCTCCAGCCAAGGTATCAAAGTAAGTCATTGTAAATCCTGCCCCTCAGACACACATCAGGGCTCACAGACCCCTGGGGGAGTTACTTCAGTTTCACACAGGCAATAAAATATCTAGAAGAAATCTTATCAGATGCTCTTGCCAGGCAGCACATGACTACAGCTCTGATTTCCTCATTTCCTCTTATTTTCATACAGTACCGATGATCAGCGATTCCCTGATCAGCTCTGGCAGCAATTGCACTGTTTGACCTGTCAAGCAGCAAGGGACCATTGACTTTGTTCTGCTCCTTCAGCCTGGACTGAGCTTCCTCTCTGCAGCTGTAGCCCAAAGGTGAAGAGCAGCCCTTCCTCCTACTCCTTCCCACCCTGACTTTCCAGGAAAGCTGTGGGTGCCCGAGCAGCTGCCCTGGCTGACAGCTCAGCTGGGGGAACCACGGGTTCAAGGCTCTAGAGCCAGAGAGGGGGACAAAGGCAGAGCTCACAGCCCCCAGCAGGCTGCTCCAGCCCCAGCTGACTCTGCAGTGCAGGCAATCCCCAGGGAAATAACCCCACACCCAGGGGAGAGCACAGAGCCTGTGGAGGGAGGGGCTGGCAGGGGTCCCATCATCAGGAGCAGCAATTCCCACAAATTCCCCTCAGGTCACTGTCACCTGTGGTGAGCAGTGCCACACACATGCACCAGTGGATTTGCAGCTGCTCCTGGGAACAGCCAGCTGGGCACTTCTGTATTGAATCAGTGCCCTGAGGCAGCAGCTGCAGAAGAGACCAAATGAATCCATCTCCTGACAGGGCAGGAGGAAACCCAGCACTCTCCCACTGCCCACAGCAGCAGGACAAACACCTCCCTGGGCCTGACATCCTGGCTCTCTACTGAATTCTCTGATCTGCCTCTTGTTTTCACTCATCTATGGACACAAGGACCCAGCAGAACTCCAGACCTGTGCCTGTGAGCAGGTTTTCATTCCTGGGAGGTCGAAGGCATGTTGGGATTTCATCTTTTATGGGGAGACAGAATAGAAGGGATGGACCTCATCTGTGCAACAAGCACACCTTTCCCTGCTGTACTCCTGCCCTCTGGAAGCCACTTATGGATCACATCTCCACAGATCCAAACAGACAAGCAGAACTACATCACTGGAGGGCCTGCCAAGCCCATGTCAGATGGGTCTGACAACAGGCAATTAAGTCTCAGGCCACACATTTATCATGGGAAACATCAAGGACGTGAGGCGTGAGGGGCACTGCAAACATTGAGACCTCTGCACCTGCCAGAGCCAAAACAGCCTCAGAGGCAATACACTGACTGCTGTAATCCACATTTCTTTAATATGCCTCAAACCATTCATTTAACTTAATTAGACGTTGGATAAAAATAATCCCACTTCCCCCCAGACAGATGAGGCACATGCCAGTTCTCCATCAAGGCTCTCAGTTAACACATCTGATAGCAAGACTGGCAACACTGATATTATCTTGGCAGTATTTTAAAGCCTGACTTGGAATAGTATCTATGGGCCTCTGTGGTTAAGAAAAAAACCACCCTTCCTCCAGTTACAGAGAGAAGCTCCTGTCTGTGGGTTACACAAACTCAGGGTTGGGAGGAGCTGGGCAGTCCCTCAGCTCCTTCCAGCAGGCATTCCCCATCTCTGGCAGTCCCAAGCCATCCAGTGGCCTCCCCAGGGCATGTTCCTGCTGCTCTCCTGGCTCAAGCACAGTGGGGCTGTGCCCAGACCTTGGCTCCTGCAGTGGGGGAGTCCTTACCTCCGTGTGGAATTTGTTGTCACACAAATACAACGATGTATTGATTGGTTTGAAAGGTTCAAAGTCAATGTTGACTTTCTTCTCTTTTCCTTCTTCTGTCACAATTGTTCCACAGTAAACAACCAGACCATTTGGAGGTACTACAAACAACACAATGCAGGTTTAGATCACCAAGGAATGTGGCAATGTACCCATCAAAAACTGACTGCCAGCCCTTGAGACTCGTAGCAGAGTTGAAATTCAAGATCCCAAACTTTTCATTTTCCCTTTTCCCCACCTCATTCCCCCCCAAGTCCCTACAATGGTACACAAAAAACTCATTTAGTGTGCCTGCAGCAGACATGCACCTGCCTGTTAAACCCATGAGTTTGCAAGCTCACAGCACCCAGAGAAAGGCTGAGCAGCCCCTGAAGCCTTGCTGGTCCCCACACAGGGATCTGCAGAGTGGCCATCCCGGGGAAGGGCACAGGCCAGTGCAAAAGCAGTAACAATGCACTCTTCCAGGGCTCATCTGAGATGGCCTGGGTCTGTTCCCCCGAGAAGCATGGCAGCTGCTCAATGCCATGCTTAAGGCACACAGAAGTTTTTGCTTGATAGAAAATTGCTACTTTAACACAAATGAACTATTGTAGAATATCCATCTCTTAAGCCTGGCCAAGTTTAGCAGAGTCAGCACTACAAACAGAATCATGACCCCACTCCTTAAAAACAAGGACCACCTTGCTATTCTAGTCCCTAAGTCCACCCCTGAAGTAGCCATCCAAGGGCAACATACCTGGAATGTCAGTGCAAAACAGCAGCACAGGCCAACAGATTTGATTAGCAGAAAACTGCATAGTGCAGGAACTTAAGGCTGCTTCCAAGAAAGGGAAGTGTGCCAGCATCCATACAAGCTAGAAGTTACCTTTGTTATAGAGTTTCAGTCTTTGCTGTACAGATGTAATGGCTCCCAGTACTGAAAGGCGATTCACTCTGGACTTTATGTTGGAGGCAGTGCCAAACTCGTCCGCTAACATTTTTGCCACTCGTGAGATCTGGTCTTTGGGGGGAATGATCAACGAGATCATGCTGGTACCATTGCTGGGGAGGGAAAAAAGGGATGTGAGCAGGCAGCAAAGCAACAAGCACCGTCACACCATGTCGCACAGTTCTCTCCTCCCTCCCCCAAGGACGCTTCTTCACTGTCACTGGTGTAATTCCCCTTCTGCTGGACAACAATGGGAGAGGAAAGAAAACAAAACCAAAACAGGCTCTTTCTTCTTCAGTGCTCAGCCTCTACCAAGCAAGTCCTCCAAAAGCTGCTTGCTTACTCTGGGTTGCTACATGAGAAGAAAGAACACATGTACAGACCAAGGGCTGCACAGACCAAGGGCTGTGAGCAGAAGGAATGGAAGCAGCTCCCAGCACAGATTATTTAAAACAATGCAGCCACATACTTCAAGGACATCTTAGAGCCCATTTAATTTGTTCTCAGACAGCTGGAGCACTGAGCAGCCCAAGTGCTGTCTTTACATGTTGTTTTACTCAGATTAATACAGAAAACTGAACTGGAAGGATCCCTTTGTCACAGTGAGTCTTTTCTGCTTTCCCTCTATCACTTTTCTCCCCAGAGCAGCTCATCAGCTCTGGCAGCTGCTTTAACTGAACCCTGCTAAGCACACACTGCTGCTTCACCAGCACCAACCCCAGGCATAGAGTCAGGAGATAAGACCCCACAAATCACAGAACAGGCTTAAATTGAAGGAAAATAAGTTTGATATTCGTTTTTCCTAGGGCTTTGGGGCGGGTCCTGCAGAAATCTTAATCCCCAAAGCTGCCTTGTGGTTCAAATCCACCCAAAGCCAAAAGGAAAACTGGGGAAGTTCCCATCTGCCTTCCAGTAGGTACCTCCCATTTGCCATTGAAGTATCCCAGATGTCCCAAGTGCTGCCTCTGCATTGTCTCAGATTTAACCCAGACCTCAAGCTTCCCATTAGAGTAATGGCATAAAAATCAAATCCCTCATGGTATCCTCCAGCTCTCTCAAGGGCAAACCAGCTAAGCTCTGTGAAAAAGCCTCTTCTCAGGATTCTGAGTCAGAGTGCCAACAAAGTGCTTTTCAGACATCAAACCTAAGGGTTTTGCCCTTTTACATTTCTTATGGAAGGAGCCTACCCCAGTCTCTGCTCGCTGCTGTTTCAGGCTGTCACATACCAGTGTCCTGCTGAAGTGTTTGGGCTACAGAGGCAGCAGGGAAGTGCTTTAAAAAGCATCTCTTCATTAGCTTCTTTACACAAGTTGTACAGCCCTCTCCCAAAGATCCTCAATCCAGGCCAAGTTGAAATGCAGGCTGGTAGGTCACATAAGTCCTTGACCTTAAAGACAACTAATTGGTTTTAATATCTGAGCTCCCATACACACCAATAGAAGTCACAAAGCCACACTGGCCCACGTTACTCCCAGGAGGAGCTCTGAGCCATGCTGGCGGCTCTCAGGCTTCCAGGTCACCCCAGCCAAGGATACTCCACAGCCCACTCAATTAAAGCAGTTACCCACCCCAGTGCATGGCACCAGCCTTAGGGGACAGATAATGGCTATCATTCCCAGCAGGCTCCTTTGAGCAACAGGCTGATCAGAACGAAAGCAACTCTCCCACTTTTGTGGAAGTAGCACTCCTGAGTTATCGTCTCCTCTCAAAGAAGAAAGTCTTACAAGTTCCCAGAGATTAGAAAGCTCTGCCTATCACACCTAACTTCCTGCATCCCCTAAGGGCATCTCAGTGTGGCAGGTGGGAGTGGGACTCTTACACTCCTTGGGCACTCCATGGCTCTCCTGCTAGGAAGAGATTGCATACAATTTTTCCTGAATTGAGGACAGAGGGGAAAGAGCAGGGAGTGAGTCCTGTCACAAGCTGTCTGGAAGAAGAGCCCAATCCCCACGGCTAAAAACTCCTTACAGGAATTTGCAGAGAGCAAGAAGGCCCCCCAAGCCTCCTTTTCTCCAGGGTGAGCCTCCCCAGATCCCTCAGCTGCTCCTCACAGGACTGACTTTCCAGATCCTTCCCCAGCTTTGTGCACAGCAAAGAGAAAGGCTGGGTGTGCACTCCCAAGAGCAATTCCTCAATAAAATGTCATTTGAAAAGCTCCCTTCAGTTTTCAAATGCAAGTTACCCTCCTCAGATGCCAGCCCCTGGCCTTGTGCTGTGTTCCACTGCCCCAGAACCACTGGTGCCAGCACAGAGCACCCACTGGATCCTGCTGGGGCTTACTGATGCTACACAAAGCACCTCATCCATCAGGCAGGGTCACAGCACTGCTCCTTTGGAACACCCCACCCGAGGTAACACAGCGGCCTTCACAAGCCTCGGTGATTTATTACTGCAAACAAACAAATTAAAAGGGCCTCAGAGGATGCACTCCCCCTCATTTAAATCTCCAACTAGTTCAACACAGCACAGTACTGTGCCTGGGCCAATCCTTCAGCAAATTCCAGTCTGGATTTGTATCCAAAAACACCTTCCACTACCAACATCAAGTGCACTTCTCAGGTTTGGCATGCTTCACCTCTATTTACACAGTCAGAGCTATTTCAGGCTCTAACCAATTCCTGCAGAATCCAGCAAAACAGCTGGCATGCAGCTTGCCACAGGAGCAACATTCCAGGCTGCTGGAAGCCTAGAGCATGAGGAACCAGCCAGCTTGTCACCATGTCCCCAAGCACCCAGCATTCCAAGGGATCACTAAACAAGCAAACAACCAAAGACTGAGACCAGCAAGACACCAGCTGAAGCAGATGGGCACCAGCACTCAGGGTGGCTGCAGAACTCCCTCACATGCTGCCAACACCTTGTTATCTGACCATGCAAGAGCAGCTTTCCTCTCTCAAAGCAAGCTTGTACCTGTCTGTGACCCTAATGCTGTATGGCAGGGTCTAAAAAACCCTGTGGTGCATCTGCTAAACTCACCCCAAGGAGACAAAACGCAGCAAAGAGTTTCTAAGAAAGCTGCTGTTCAAAAACACTCAGGAAAAAAATAGGCTATTCTGCAGAGTAAGGTAATTTCCAAGTCTCCTCTGGGTCTCTGCAGCCTCAACAAGACAAAAGGTATTTCTGCAAATCCCACCCTGTCTCCTCTGGAGGTGAGGGTTGCAGAGCACACTTACCTGGGAATGAGGTAAGGAATTTCCCCATAACCATCCTAAGGCCTCCCAAAAGGGAGCACAGCTGCACCACATCCCTGCTATGGGGCACAACCAAGTGATCTAGTGAGATGAGAGGCACTGCTTACACGGGCAGCTCGGGGTCAAACGTGCCAGGAGCTGGGTCTGCCCTGCATCACCCACAGCCCTCCTGAAGAAAGCATGGATCCCATCCCAGGCTATATCCTGATTTTTTGGACCAAGCCAAGCCAGGGGCTTGCAGAGCTCCAGCCAGCTGCTGTCCCTGTTCTGGCCAAAGAACTGCCAGTGCCATCCCAGGGCAGGATGATCGAGATGTTTGGGATGGAGGGAAACAGCATCCCAGCCCACAGGCCAGCACCACAAGTGCCACTGCTCAGGGGATGGGGGCAGAGGAAACAATCAGGAGCATGAGGGGCACCTGCCCACACACTACAAAGAACCAAGGGGGCAGTTCAGTGCCAGCTCTGGAGAGGCAGAAGGCCTGCTCTGCCAATACTGCTCATGGTGCCAGCCCTGCCAGCACTGGGCAATTAGCTCAGATTTATCATCACCTGCCATGAGCAGCATTAGGTATCTCTAGGAGAGAGGATGAGGATCAAAGCTCCAACTTTCCCACACCACAGCAGGTGAGCTCAAGCTTTCTCCCACAGTGTGCTGGAGGGCTGTTTGAGGGAAGCAAAAATAAGCACATTTCGCTCTTTGGAGACAGCAAGTCCCTCAGAAAATCAAGGCTTGTGGCTAGGACAGCCTTTTATTACTAAAACTCCAGTGTTACTACAGTTGGAATTTCAGACAAGTGTGCCACCAAACAGCTTTCCCAGACACAGAGAGACCTCAGAGCAACTGCTGACAAGTGATCACAGCGAGTGGCAGTGTGGGCAGCGCTGAATCACCACTAACCCAGTCCCCAGAAACTGCAGGGGAGCCGTGCCACTCCTGCAAGCAGCTGCTGCGGCACCTGAGCGCTCCTTTCCCTGCCAGGAGAGGAGGGATCACCCAGGAGCCCTCCCTGTGCTGTGCGTGCAGGCCAGGAGAATGGCTGGGTCCCTTCCAGGAGCAGGAATGGCCCAGAGATGCTGGCACCAGCTGGGTCCTTGTTCCCAGCCCACACCAAGCTTGGTACCAGGAGCGGGGCCCTCCGTGGACGTGCTCTGTGCTCCAGCACGAGGGAGGCACCAGAGCAGGAGCCAAGAGCACAAAGCAGGCACTGCACCCATCTGGGATAGGCTGCCACATGCACCCCGTGGCTGCTTTCCATGACAGCTGCCAGAGGAGCCTCCTGCTCTGGGTGGCCATCTCCCCCTGAAGGGCTTTGTCACCACGTTCCTACCATCCTGCCATCAGAAGGAACAGCTGAGCAGATCCTTAGACCTTCAGCTTTCAGCTGGTACTAAACAGTAACGTAGTGGTTTTCTAAAATGCTCCTACCACCTTACACAGCGCTGTGCCACTGAAATGGGTCCTGCACTGCCACTCCCCAAACCAGCAGCACCCACCACAGCTCCTCTCCACCCGGCAGACAACCACCAGCACTCTGAGGAGGAGCAGTCAGTCAACCTGTCTCCTGCAATTTGGGCTGTGAGCTGGCACGGGAGAGCATTAATTTCACAGCCTGCTATATAAATAGCAGTGACTGGCCTGCCCTGTGCTATCAGAGAAGACCTGACAAACAGCAGCTGAGCTTTAGCTGTTCCACAATGAAACATTTCACACTAACAGCACACTGTGGAATGGGGGATACAGAGGCAAGGGAGGGCAGTCATTCCCTAGGACTCAAAATGGGCTTATTTTTACAGGGCACGGCTTCACGAGCATCCTGCTCTCCCCAGGAACCAGGGACAGCATCAGGCTTGTGTGTGACTGCCAGAGACTGGCAGGAGCACAGAGCCAACAGCTCCCAGATAATCTGATCCCAACCACAT